CTGAACTTTTGTTACTGGACCTGTCTACCTTTTTATACAATTAAAATGACTGGTCAGCAATATTAAAGTCGTGTGCAAAAGTACTGTTGAAATGTACTATTCTTGTTACATTGTATTTAAAATGGGACAGCTCTTTGTTGGTTAGAAATACTGGCTGACGAAGGTCCTGGCTGGTCAATGGGTCAGGATCATGGGATCACGGCTGGATGACCATTAGCTGAGCTTGCAGATGCAATGGCGCTTTGTTGAATACATTGTTGTAGGCACTGAGTCACATAGTAGCATATTTAAAGGTGGCCTTTTTTATTATTCCGGTGACGTTTGGAAATTGCTCTTTTATGCACTCCCAGAGCTGGTGGTCTGTCGCTCTGGGTTGCATGGGGCTCCAGCTAAGCTGTTTACCCACTAAAACCTTTCCCTTTCCTCACCGCCGAGGTGGTGTTTGGCCTTGCACCGCGGTCATTTCTGTCCTGTTATGTCCATGGTTATCTATGATAAAATCTAAAGTAGACCAGAGAAACATACACCCAAATTAAATTTACAACAAAATTATTAATTAACATTACCTTTATTAATTTAAACAATGAGATTAAGTCAAAGTCACATAACTGACAATTTGCACAGACGAATTATCAGAGCGAATTTTCATATACGGTATTATCCCACTATTGTTACACAATTTATTAACATACCCTTTTTTAGCTTCATTTAAGTTCTTTTGATAACGATAGCAGAAAATAGCTATCGAAACGTTAAGGTAATTTTTCAAATTAATTTCTTTACTAATTGGAATTTTCTCTTACAGCTTGAGCCTAAGTGTGTCGCAGGATACCCTTTAGGTGCTAGTTCTTGATTACTTTTTAATAAATAATTCGTTCTTATTGCGAAATAGGAGCACTATTTATCAATCGGTAATAAATGACGTGAGAAAGATCTGTCTTTTTTAAAGACAAACATTTTTCAGGCGAAATACCCAACAAGAAGTTTGTAAAAAAATGAATCCGTCTCAACAATATGGACCTTATCTTTAAAATTTATAGTTAATGTGTGGATAGAGATTATTGTAGATTATCCCATTGGACTATTTTTTGAGGCATTGAATGATTCCAATTATTTTCAATTGTGTGCCTTTAGAAATTATAAATCAGATGTGGTTTATGCCACTATTAATGACGGCGCACAGCTCCATTTTATCAATTTCATTCCCTCCAAAATTTGTTTTCATAAGGAACTTTAAAAATGCTTGTGTATTCGACACCAATGCACATGAGGGCTGATCTGAAGAAATAGCACATCATTGCACCGAACTGAGACACAATCCTGCAATGTTGTTTCAACTGTAAGACAGGGTGATTTAAAATTGGCGTCATTCCTCCGGAGGTGTTGTCTGGGGATGTTTTGAAAGTACAGAAAAAATAGTAAAAAAAAAAAATTGTAATGAAAAACTCAGATATTTGCAAAAAACTAGATCAGAAATATCCCAACAATGTTTTTCACGGTAATCTACCTAATTAACATTACGCAAATACCAATTGCTTCGTAATTATTAAACACTCCGGAAAACATGGATAAACACAAAGCATAATGAGGTTAGGATAACGATATCCCTTTGCATTCAGTGCTGCCACAGAACATGCCCCGAGTGCTGCTATATTTTAGGGGCAAATGAGTGTTATACCAAAAACCGTCATAGCTGTCATTCAAAACCACCTCGTTATGTAACTTTGATCAATATTCTGCTTCCCTTCTTCTTCATCATCCCTCTCTCATCCACTCCTGGATGTCAAGTCCGCAATCTACATACATCAACCGAGTTTGACGATCTTGGGCTTTGTGGTAGCAGTCTGGGCCCACGGTTGACCTAACATCGTCCATTGCCATCTTCTCTGTGGCCGGCTTCTGCTCCTTTTAGTTCCTCTTGGCCGCCAGTGGGTAACTTTGGTTGTCCATGTCACTGCCCTGTCTTGCGACATGTCCGACCCAGCTCCATTTACGTTGTGCCACTCGTTCTGTCACGTCTGTTATCTTAGTTCTTTCTCGAATCTCCTCGTTTTTAATCTGTTTCTTAACGAAATTCCGAGCATTGTGCGTTCCATGGCTCTTTGTGTTGTTCTTAATCTTTTTACATTCTTTTTTGTTAGACTCAAAGTTTCTAGGCCATATGTAGCCACCGGCAAGATGCGTGAGTCGTAAACTTTTTTCTTTAGGTTTATGTTCGTTAGGCTTTAGGTATACTGCTTTTCCCAAAGATGTTTCGCAGTTTAGGCCAAAAGCTGCCCATGTGAGTCCTATACGTCTAGTAAATTCTGCTGTTTGATTTGGTTTTCCTAGCATGATCGTATGGCCAAGGTATGTATATTGGCTTACTACATAGGGTTGGACTATACTCATTATTATTTATTAATATTATTGATCAAATAAAATACAATTAAGTTGGTGAATGACAAGAAGGGTTCGAAGTTCTGTCCGTTTAACTCCAAATTTGTTTGTGGCCCAATGACTTTTCGTGAACTTTTGGCTGCAGTTTGAGCTCAAATCTTCAGCAGCTTCCCGTATTCGGTTAATTCACTGCTGCTCAATTAATACCGGTGTTCGGAAGATAAGAAATTTAATGTGTTCTAGTGTCCTGTGTACAGTGTTACATACATGGTAGGAATGTAGGTTATTCCTCGGTGGAGTTATCGCAACAATTAAGTATTCGGTGTAACGCGAGCACCTTTAGAGTGTCCACCATCTGCGTCAATTCCTGGAGCCACTCGTCTAGTCTCTTGAGCCTCTAAGCTTCTGCTATGTGACTGTGGCATTTTTCCATTACTAATCGCGTATTCGAAAATTTAAAGTTTGCTTTCATTTTGTCATTTTGACAAATGCTTGTGATTATTGACAAAGGCTATCAATGTGTAACTATCTGTTAATGACAAAAAACATCATCGCCGCCATGACTTTTCATGAAAAAATTGTAGAAGAGTGCTTACTAAATATCTAAAATATTCGTAATTTGAAGTAAACATCGTAATTTTTAATTTCTAATGTTTAAGTTTTCCAATGGGTTATGATTCAAAATAATACTTAATACTACGGGATATAGTATATAAAATGTATTTAGAATTTAGAGTAAAATTCAAAAATGTTATAGTATATAGGGTGTTCCATTTAAAATAAGCAAGTTAATACCTACTTCCGATATAACGAAGTGTGGCCATTTTGAATATATTTTAGACTGTTTTTCCCCAATGACCTTGGCACTGTTCAATTTTCAAATTTCTCCTAATTACAGTTTGTCAGATATCAATCGCGACGGCTCCAGGTGGGACACCCTGTATTAAAACGTTGAAAATAATTTAACGTGCGTTGTTACATGCAAGACAGTTTTAAAAGCAAATTTTCTCGAAACCGGCATATTTTAGCGAGATATGACAAGTAAACCTTTTTTGTACGCAGTGTGCAGCGTACTTTTATTTTGTTAAACCATACACAGCAGAAAGCTAAAACAAAAAAGTTTATGTTATTATGTAGATGACATGGATGAGTTCTACCCCTCAGCAGTAACGGATAAATGTCAACTTTTGCACAATAATACAAATGATCATAAGTAATAAGTGTGCCAAATTTTAAAGCAATAATTTATACTACTTCTTCTTCAGCCTTCTTTCATCCGTTTTTGGACATAGGGCTTTAGGTGCCTCTTCTACTTCTGTGCGTCTTGTGCTATCCGGAACCAGCTTAGACCTACTTCTTCCTCTATATAATCTATCCACCGCCTCTGTGGCCTACCTCTACTTCTCATTGTTTCTCTGGGCCGCCAAAAGACAACCCTGATGGTCCATTTCTCAGTGCTCTCGGATGCAACATGTCCTCCACTTAACTTGACCACTCGTGATATTTCGTGTGAAACTCTGGTCCTTCTTCTAATTTCTTGATTTATCTCTAATTTTTGACCATTTAACCAACAAAAGTTATTCCAAAAAAATTATTTAAAAAAACTAATTTTAACGCCCCGTAGATCAGTTATTATTGAGTTTTAGAAAAATCGTTATAAGAACTTGTTCCACTCATTTTTGCTCTAGAACTACGTCGAGACGTATTGGTCGCATCATTACCGGATACCCTCAGATTCACAAATGATTATAGATTTCTGCGTAGCTTTTTTTAAAGATAATTTGGAATCAATTCAAACGCATTTGCTCCTTAAATATTACAGTCCAGCTCTGGCTCGAAATTATACAGCAATTTAAACGTAATTGTTGCCATACTGAAAATAAATTTATTACGCTATGGACACTTGGAAGTAGATAGTTCAGAAATGTTTAAGATAAAATAAGATCGGATAACTTAAGGGACCAAACAACATAAAATTATTATACAGCATGTTTGTTGAAGATTATAAATTAATACCTCATTTAGAAACGAGAACAAATTGTACTTTTCGTATCATCATTCCATTAAGTGTGTCAAATGGAAACACATTGTATTTTCTTACATGCACAGTACGTATATACATGCAATAAATTTGGCCTATAATTGCATATAAGTACTGATCATACGCAATATCAAAGCCTTGTACAATAAGTGGATAAATTTAAATTGATTCACACGCTTAAATACCTTTGGCTGTTGAATTAGTTTTCTGATATGCTGCGTCACGAAGGAGAATAGAACGATGCTGCTATTTAATAATAGCGGTCGCGAATAACAAACTGATACTTAAATGAGATTTCCTGGTGTTTACTGCGCACTGTTATTTGGCAATATAAAATATACAATTTTTGAATATTTATTAGCCATTAGCTTTACTTGTATTTACAATTCCCCGTCAACTATATTTAGTGGTGCAGTCAATGTTTGATTACACATTTCAGCTGAGCCGCATTGAGTCAGCCTAAACATCATAGCAAAGAAAAGTTTTTCGAGTAGGGATCAAGTAATTACTGCTTTAGACGATCAGCTTGGACAGCGTTAGAAATCTGAATGCGTAGTTTTTTGATAATATGACGGGGTTTATTTTATTTATTCCAGCTGGTGACGTTATGTGCAATGTACGAAACATGTGTCGAGCAGAGTCTTAGATATGAAAGTTTCATTTTCCCGTCAAAATTGTTTTCAGGAGGCGTGGCACCTGTAAAAGTCATTGTATGCAATAGCCTATATTCATTTATTAAAACAAGTAGGCAACCATTATATACGGGTGTCAATTTGATAACTTCCCACCCTCAATATATTTCTTGCAGTTAAGAATATGAAAAATCGGAAAAACTTAAAAAATTATTGCATTCGGTCTCTTTATTGTCAAAATGAGTAGAAGATGATTCAAATCGTTGAATAAGAAGAAGAAAATCGAGTTTAAATAATTAATTTCTTATTTATTGGTTATTTTACTTCAGGAAAAATATTTTTTCTTTGTGGAAGACAAATTTCTATAACAAAACCCATGTGATCTACTTACGCTCTATCTTATAATGTTGTCAATTTTCCTTTGAGCAATAATGAAGTCTCAAATAAAGTTTTTGAACTCCTCTAGCATTTCAGAAAACTTTACCGGAAATTCACTAGCATTCTGCTGCAATTCGCCTTTTAAGATCATCAGTATCAACAGGTTGTGTTTTATAAACAACGAATTTGATGTCCCCAAAGAAAGAAGTCTAAAGGTTTTAGCGCAGGTGATATTGGTGACCATTCAATTGGTCTCCTTCTACCGATCTATCCGATAATTTCTCGTTTATCCACTGTTGAACCGTAAGAAAATAATGAGGTGGGAATTCTGTTTTATTGTTGTTTCTTAACAGTTGCAAGGATTTCGTCAGATTTCGCATAATAATAATGGATTATTTTCTTTTGGAAAATAGTTATCTTGTCTGGAGACGATTAGAGTTAAACAGCAAAACTTATAACTATTTGAACAGCTAATTCAGTGTGTTACAAAACAGTTCCCTATTAAGTCAGAAATGCCCCTGCGAATGTCCGAACAAATCCCATTTGTTTCGGATAGTTCGCGCCTCGTAATGGTTCCTCGGAATTCGAACAAGGGACTTCACTTCTAGTGGATGAGCTCCAGTGCGTTGCACTGAAATTGGATCATCCGCTCATTTTCGTTCGTACGACTTTGACGAACGCAGTTTGGACGAAAACTGCTTGCCTTGTTCAAAAGAACCTTAAGTTTCCGTTAATTTTAAGTGAAAATTTTAAAGTTGATTTTTTTTTGATAGAATGGAAAGTTTAATGTCAGTTATTGAATCAAAGTTACCTCCATAAGGTGCCATCAAGAATTGGACAGGAGGACGTTTATCGACTTGAAGAACACTTTATTAAGCTTGGCCTAGACTTGGGTTTAAGAATCCGAATTCTACGCTGTTACGTATTGTCAATCCCCCGGTACGGCTGTGAAAGCTGGATCCCCAAACCTTCGCTAGAAAACGTATTGGACATTTCCAAATGTATCTTTATAGGAGCCGAATAACCGAAAAACCGAATCTCTCAATAGAATGCAGAAAAATAAGGAGCTGATGCTAACAATCAAACAGCGGAAACTAAGGTATATTGGACATATAATGAGAGGTGATGGATATGAAATACTCCGCTTGATCATCGAGGCAAAGATTTACGAGAAAAGGTCAATAGATAGATGGCAGAATTCCTGCCTCAAAGATCTACGCCAATGGCTCAGTAAAATATCATCGGCAATCTTCAGAACAGCTGTATCACGAGGAATTATTGCCAGTTGGATCGCCAATTTTCGGTAGGAGACCGCGCAATAGCACAAGAAATAACAGCTAGTCAACTGCAACTATTGAAAAATGTTAAATGTTAAATTTAACATTCAAAAGAAAATTGAATTACATTTTAGCTATTTTTGATACATTTATAAATTATGAAACTTTAACTTTAACTTTTTAAAAATATCGAAATTATAAATCAGCATTGCCATCATGCGTTAAACAAGTTCAATATTGTATGCATTCTATGAATAATATAATGTTATCACTTCCTCTGATAGCAATAACCGATTTGCTAAGTTTTCTTCTACAGACTCATTTTTGGTCTGCCCAGGACCTTTAGGTGAATGTTTCTTGATAATGCTTTAATCATGTTCATCAGCTGATCAATTTTTTTTATCTTAGAGAAATGACAGTGGCTTTTCCCAAAACCTAAAATAGGAAAGTTTGAGGCGACTTGCCCATAATATAGCTATTGAAAATGTCAATAATCTTGAATTGATTCAAGTTTAATCTTTGTGATCCATGGATATTTGCACTTCGTGGCCTCTGTCGCAATTAGCAATAAATAAAGTGACCAGTGCTTATTTGCTTATTTTTGGGCAACAAAGATCAAATATAAAAATTACCGTTCGAAAGTAAAGAAGAGAATTAATATTGTGCTTCGAAAACTGATGTGACCCTAAGTGAAATGGTAAATGGTGAAAACCTAAAATTAATACGATTTCAAATTTTAACATCCACAACAAAGTTACTGAGCGTTTTGCGCAATCATCCTGTTGGCTTACAAATGACTGTACATTAAAGATCCTCTTTGATTGTAGTAACTGCGAAAATTAATGAACAGGTACACTGCTTCATGCATAGTTAGATACCGAACATAGCATGCATTAATGGGGTTAATTACAATTAATAGCAGCAAAGTCTCCTATTGGTTCGTCGTGCCTTAATGATTGTTAAGCAGGCGCTACACGATGCGCCGAAAATACGCTCCAACGTTGGACCGAAAATTTGAGTCAAAAAGTTAGACAGTTCATGCGGCAAATGTATCTGCTACACGGTGTGTCGAATGCTTGGAGCAAATATATTTTTGAATTGTGGTTCAAACGTTTGTCTACATTCGTCAAGATGAAAGATACTGCTGACGCTGTAGTTATAGCCGCAGCGGTACGAGTTTTTAGTTGCGTGAATGGTTTTCTCAACGTCATTTTGAAACTTATTTTTTAACACTTTGTATTAATAGTTATCAAAATGTTGTCGAAATTTCATTAAAGTAAAGCCTTTTCGAAAAGAACGTAGCCAATATCGACGACAAACTAACTAACCAATAATTTTCAAATATTTATCCCACCTACCTTCCGATTTCAATAATCTAAAAGAAAAGGCAAAAAATCTGGAATCGATCACATTTTAAGTGCTGTTTGATTTATGTGACACTTGTTCACAGCTTTGGTTTCTAATTTAACGTTTTCGAAGCAAAATCATGTTAAGTGTTTGAGACTCAATTTCCTTAAAACATAATATTAAGGGCTCCGAGGACAGATGTGGTTCGATATCGGATTACCGTTTAACCACATTTCGCTTTATTTTATCGTTTTTGGATAAGGTGGCCCACGCTTCAAACTAGAGATGAGCTGAAGCGTGATTTCAAAATCACTGTTATAACTGTGAATGTGATTTTTTTGCCTTGTGAGTGTGATTTGACTTGTGGTTGCTGTTTTCGTGATACATGAGCGTTATAAGGTGATGGCCATTGGGCCTCACTTACAGAATTGAATTTACAATTTTTAAACATATCTAATAATTTTTTGTAAATAAATAACCTTATTTAGATAACAAATAATACTTTAAACTTAAAGTACAAATTATTTAACGGACACTGAAAAATAACAATAAAATCCAGGCTCAAGGAAACCCGTGAATGCAAGCTTTCATTATCGATTTAACGAACAAAATTATTTTATTTGGGTTCGTTCTTTCGCCGGGCCACATGTGCAACATATGATGACTACACGCAACTCCCAATAGTACCGTTTAAAGCTTCCGCTGCAAGCTGCGTAGCAGTGAAAATATAAGTCGCTCTTTAACATCACATTTGTGTCAATCACGTTTTAGATTATATTTTTATTTATTGTCATTGGTATTTATTAATCGCTGTGGAAAAATCACAGGTAGTGATTTGTTGCTCAATTCTACTTCAAACCAAACATTAGTATAAGCCGTATGGTCTTGCGTCTTGTTGTTGGATACATAGTGTTGGTCTTGGTCTTGCAATGCCAATACCAGTCTCGTTAATCACTAATAATGTTTTTGAAACAAATTTTATAAAATGTTTAACGGGATGAATCACCAATAATTATAATTAAAAAAATATACCCCTTCGTAGAATGAAATTAACAATACTTTCAATTCAATTTTTAGCTACGCGGTTAAATCCACTAAAAACTTTATAAAAAGCAAACTATTTCGAATGAATCGTGACGCTGTGCGTGATCAAATCAACGAAAGTTTTTCTTCGACCGTTGCAGCGATTCCTTTGACTCGATCAAAAATATCGACAAAAGCCGGAACATGCTCCAACGCAAACGTTGGACGCTCGACATTCCTAGCTCTAAGTTGGAAAGTCGACCACACGATGCAATGAACCGTCAAGCCTCCAACGTTGGACGGTGTTCGTAGCATCGTGTCGCGCCGGATTTAGTCTGCTAAATGGAGAAAGTAGGTTAGTACAATTTGACGTTGCATTTTAGGAAGCACAGGTCTTTTTGGGACGTAGAGAGCTTAAAAAGTACAACTCCTCTACACACACACATAAAAACCTACTGGTCTGCTTTTTCCTTAAGTGATACAGGCAAACAATAGCAACAAAATTTGCGATAACAAAATTAAAATCTGAAATCATTCAGTATTTTACCATATTAAGAAACGGAATTTAGATTTATATTTTATATCTATTTATAGAGGCTATTCAAGTTCATGTTATTTAGTACAATAGGTGAGGTACAGTGCTGCATAGTATTCCAAATAATAATTGTGAAACATTCATTTTTATCATAAATGAAATACTGCAGTTTACGCTATTTTTACGTAAACAACCGTAATTTTGTCAACCGGCATACATACAAGGATGAAATGTATCTTATAATTTGTGGCATTTTTCTTACCTTATTCCGTCAATAACTATTTAGGTTATGTACCTAAGACTTGTTGGGTTCTTGGTAAGGCCAACTTGCCTTAGGACACCTTCAGACTAAAAATCTCCCCACTATGGTAAACACAACTTTATTTCTTAGCACACTAACATGACTGCATGTGATTAACTAACGTGACTCAATGAAGAACCGGTAACAACGAACTTACTAGTCGAACCACCAGAAACCTGTGGTCCCCGGAAGAAGGGTAGCGACTTCCGATTTCGTCCTTTCTTGTCTTTAATTCAACGTCAAAATACGGTGTTGCCAACGTGGGCACCACAGACTTTATGTGTTTTTTGTTTGCCCGGCGGCTGGAGACATAAAAATCTTCGCGAAGACGCCCAGTGTTCCGAACCCTGGGTAGTGTTGGATTCTTACCAACTAAAAAACCCCCTTTTTTGTATTACGAGTTTTCGGGAGTTATCCTTTAAAACTTGTAGTCCTCTCTAAGAATTTGTCAGCTCCGGCATCCGTATGCCATAGCATCGCATTCTCTCCATGCTAGCTGCTTGCTAGCATGGGCATCTTATTAATTTACACCTTACTTCTGCATGCATGCATGCTAATTACTACTAACGCTACATAACCACACTTACAGCTTACGCCGTTTGCTACCTGTTGCCGTAGTGGGCTAGTTGGTGTCTGGGCCTTTTTTTCCTGGGTGCCAGATCTTCAGGCGTGTAATTTACCAGATTTCGTAGCTTTTCGTTGGAGTGCCTTCTACCTTTCTCGCAGTCTTCTGCCGCTTTCCTTGTGAGAAACTCTCTTAGTGGCTCCCACTCCAGGCCCCTGTAGATTTGGGAGTTTCTAACAAACCAGGCCGCATCTATCGCCATCCGCAGAAGTTTGTTTTCTGTGGCCTGAAGTCTATTCAAGTGACACTCGGCCGCATATCCCCACAAAGTGGAGGCATACGCCAGTGTCTGCCTGATTATTGTCTTGATGAGGAGTAGCTTGTTCCTGAAACTCATCTGGCTTCTTCGATTGAGGAGTGGGTACAACTTCGCTGTTGTTGCCTTAACTTTGTCGATGCAGACTTTATGACATTTTAGTCTTTCGTGGGGCGCAGGGCATACATTAAACTGTTCCACACTGACGAAGAAACTTAACCGTTTTCTAGAAAATAACCGTTTCAAGTTTTTTAGACAGTATAAGCTAAGAAAAAAGTGGTTAAGTAATGTATGCTTTATTTGCATTTTGTGTAAATCAGCAATTATTTTAAAAATATTAATTGTGGCTTTGTAGATCTGCAGCAAAATTTTTTTATAGCAAATTAGTAGATTTTTGAGACTGCATAACACGTGCGTAGATATATGTAATTAACATATGCAAGAACGCTTTGTTTTAAACAGAGCGTCGAGTTGATACTTAATCCGACTGACTTGGTGACCAGTGACTGAGTTAAGTGCCACGCTCAAGCCATCTGAACTATCTGGCTATCACAAGCCCAAGCAAATCTTTACGAGTAAACTCAGATCTGAAGTTTGCGCAAACCGAAAAATTTGGTTTAGGTATCGCTTATAGTATATGAGTATATAAGATCGTTAGCTTTAGCGTGTAAACGCTGTTCGAGCCAGGTTTATGGGTTCTGAATGAAATATTGCTACCATGTGCGGGATTCTCTTTGTTGTATTATACAGGGTTGCTCATTAGTGCGTCAAAGTGCGATATCTCAGTAAATATGAAGTTTACAAGAAAATTCGTCCAACGAAAGTTTTTCACGTTTAA